ACATTACTTACATACACTTTCTACCATCTCCCTCAACGGGCATGGTGAAACACACAAAGGGATCAAGCCCCAGTACCAAGAGGTTACCTGTATAATCCTCTCCACGTAGCTCTAATGCAATTTATATTCTGAGCTCGTTTCACAACAAAAATGCCTACACAGAGGACATTCCCAATCAATTACCACTCATACAAACACATGCAAGTTACTAATTCTACAAGCATGGTTCCAATTACTCACCTCAATCCCACTTGGTCCTGGACCAAGGGCAACCCACCGAGCTCACGGTTCGGGGTTCAAATCTACATACGGCAACCTACAACAACCATGTACGAATCTTCAATACAAGGTATATCTATCAAAATACAAAAACGTCAAAAATTCTCCTCCACCCTAGGTAGGTTCGACCATCTATGTGTTATTTTACAAAATATTTTTATTTTTATTTTCTTTCTCATTTTCTTAAGCGTCCTTAGGTTACCAAAAGGTCATATTAAGTGCCATTTTTCCTTTTACATCATTCAAAAATCGTTTTGCCTAATATTTTGCTCTAGGTTCCATTACACCACTCAACACTATCAATTATTTTTTCCATTGGTTTCCCAACCTTCCAACCATCACACAACCCTTCTAATTACCATACAATACACAACACATCATCCAATTAATTTTACCACATCTCATTCCTCTCATTTCCTCTCTTGGCCGAATTCAACATAGACAAACCTCAAAGGATTTTCAATCCAATTCAACTATTCCACACCTCATACAATCCTATTATAACATCATACAACCATACAACAACTCACCAACACAATCCTAACACAATTCCAAATCACAAAGTCATGGCATCATCCCAAAAATTTCCTAAGTTAAAACTCATTTTCCCCCAATAATTTTTATTTCATTTATAGCTCCTACACATCATTCTAAGACATATTCATCTACAAACATTTTTCATTTGAGCTCTCTAACAACACAAATCGACCACAAATAATCTTAGGGTTCATGAAAATTAAACTCATCAAATCAACCATGAGAGGTGTTGAAACTTACCCACAATCAAGTGACAAGGCTCCTTCTAGCACCCCACAAGCAATGGCTTAAGAAATCAACCCCAAAATCACAAAAATTCCAAGAAATTCATGGCTAAAATCTCCCATTTTCTCACAAATGAGAGGGTTTCGAGGCTAATGGATGGTATGGTTGAGTCCGGATCATCGTTTACTTGAAGTTTGATGACAAACTTCGATGAAATCTCGATGAAATCGGTGGCTAGATGATCAAGATTCAAAGCAAGCTCTCCCCCCTTTTCTCTTGGAGTTTCACGGTTTTGAGAGAGAGAAAGTGTAATGAGAGTGATGATGAATAGTGTTGGACATGTGTGTTTAAGTGGCTTAAGTGAGGTGGGGCCCACCGCCACCTCACGCGATTTCAAACTAACTTGAATTTCCCTCTGATTCCACTAATCGTCCATAAATTCACAACCTATTTAGAAACTTTAATTTTTAACATTAACCATTGTCCTTTTAATTACCCTTGATTAGATTAATCTGGAGTTTTCCGGTCGTTCGGAGAAAATGTTATTTTAAGCTGTTGCGCGCGCTGTAGGCACGCTTCCCCAAACTTACTAATTTCCATCAATTTTTCTCAGAAATCACATTTCCTAGTTCTATATACCATTTATAACTTGTATTCAAAACCTAAAGCTCAAAACTCAATCGACACGCTTTACGGTGCAACTGTACCACGATATTTTTACCCGGTAAAAATACTATTCACTGAATTTTCTGAAACTTGCCTAACCACTCAATTTTTCGTTCTGAATCCATTTCCAGGGTTATTTTTATCATCTGAGACTTTCTACTCAATTTTTATCTTCCTAGGGTTGCATGTTGGCTAATTACCGTTTTACCCTTCCTTTGTATTTTAACCTAATTTTCAGGATTTGCACTAATCCTTCCCTTTAATCCATGTTTAATATTTTAATATATAATTTAGAATTGCGAGGTGTTATAAGCACTAGGAAGATTTTTGATATTTTGATTTATTGCTTGTGTTGAGTGTTTGTTAAATGCTACTTTTGTGATTAATAAAATAGAAAAATATTTTTGCAGTTAAGGAAAATAAGTTATCTGCATTTACTTCCAAAATTACGTCGTTTTGGGATTGAAAGATTAGAAAATTATAATTATAAAGACTATAACCCCAAAATAAATTAAAATTACACAAACACCATGATTTCCGCCCCAAAACGACGTCGTATTGGACTTACTGCAGATAACTTATCTGCAGTAACTGTAGAAAAAAATGAACCTTAATGAAATATCTGCGGCTACTTCAGTCTGGACGTAACATCTCATTGCACTAAGAGATGTTAACCATGATATATCATGTGTATTTTGTCTCTCTGATCTAAATTATGAATTTTTCTATTTTGAGACTTAAAGTAACATTGTTTCTGGTTTTTAAAAGTGATATAGAAAATTTCTAGTCCTTATATTTTTTGTAGTTGTTCTGTTATATTAAAAAGTATTGTAGCTTTTAGTTGATTTTTTCTGGTTTCGGTAAGAAAGCTTATAACTGCACATTCACTCTGAGTATTAAATATCAGGTACGTTCTCTGATGTTATATTTTATTTAGAAATTTATAGAGCATATAGGGGCCTAAAGTAAAATAATAAAATTGTTAAAGTTGTGTGACTGCAATCTGAATTAAATTTAGAAAAATTATTTGATAACAATCAATCTAATTGTATTGGTGTGCTACTTGAATTGATAAGTTCAACTTTGTCTATGCATATCAATTTTAAAGATCTACTTATAAGAAGTTTTTGGAAAATTTGAACAAGCTATTCACCCCCCTCTAGGTGTTCTTCCGCATCCTAAGTAAAGAATTCACTTGTCGCACAATCTTAACCCCAAGCCATACCAAAAAGAAAAAAGAAAAAGAAAACTTACCTTATGCAGTTGGAACATGTTGCATCAGAACATTGAGCATTTCTTAGGGATCCTTAAATTTGCTCACAGGAATTGACTTAGTTAGTATATCTGAAGGGTTGCATGTAGTGGACACTTTCTCCCCCTTAACCTGCCCACTAGAGATTATATCTGTAATAAAATGCAATCGAACATCTATGTGTTTAATTCTTTCATGAAAAACAAAATTTTTAGACATGGTGTCGATCCACTTATTACGGTTGGTGTAGTGTAGCCCATTGGTAGTGGACTCGGGCTAGCTAGGTGTTTGGCTAGAGGCATGGAGAGACTTTTGTTGATGGGGAGCATACTAACGCAGGGTTTCACACTTAAGGGGAAGATTGTTGGATGTTCAAGTGTAATGAAGTCCTATAATGAGGAGTTGCCTTTTCGCTGGCCTTATCCCTCGGACGTATCCAGGGTGGACTCAGGTGTCCACCTTCATTTGCTTTAACAGTGTCGAAATAACCCTCTCTGGATTCCATTTGGTCTCCACTAATTGTAATTACTTCATTCTTATTGCTCACCATCTTAATCTTCTGGTGTTTCGTAGAGACTAGCATGTCCCATTGGTGTATAGTTGGTCAAGTAGAATTGGCCTTGAAGGCCGAAACATGCGTGAGGGAAAAACAAAATTTTTCGCAAGCGGAACACACATGCATATCAAGATACATACTTTAAGACGTATGTCATACCTTGTTCGTGAAAACTCAAGATGATCAAGGTAGGTCTGAAGGGTTCAGACCCTCTAACGTTGATCCACACCACCCGCGTCTAGATACAGGAACTCCTTCCAGTAAGACCGCCGATTGATCACCACAATAAAGCTTGCTATGCGCTCAGTGTGTGATGCAGGAGGCTAGGTAAAAGTGTTTAGTAGAGTGAAGTGTTCTAAGAGAAAACCTCACAAGGCGCGCATAGATGAGTAGAGAAAGGCTTGGCTTTTTTTCACACAAACCTAAGGAGGAATTAACTACTACTTAAGCACACAAGAGGAGCCTTTTAAGTTTAAAAAACAAATCAGATTTTTCTCCCAGAAATCTGATCAAAGTGGCGCCCTTGGGGAGAGAATAAGTGGAGTTGTTGCATTTCAAAAATTGCCAACAACATCCCAGAATATTCTCATGAGACTAAGTTCAAAACCTAGTCAGAAATCTGATCATGAATCATCATATAATCAGCTATATGGTGCGCCCCAAATAGCCTAAAAGGTGACCAGATACATTTGAGTTAGTTGCATTTCAAACTTAAATCAACTCACTCAAATATTCTCCCAACAGACCGTATCTTCTGGAGCTGATTTTGATGATCAAATCTAGCCAAAATCAGCACCCCATTATCCTTGGATTATGTCCAAAAGATCTCCTCCTGATATGTTCCAACAAGATCTTATCTTATCCTTTTGTTATGAAACAACTTTTCATAGCCAATTCAACTTTTGAAACAAGATCTCAGTTTCTTTCCCACAGATGATAACCTGGCTGATTCTCTGACAAAGGCTGTTTCTCAGAGAAAACATGATAGTCATTATGAGGCTTTGGGTATGCGACTTAGGTCTGATTGGCTCTAGGCCAAGTAGGAGCTTGTTAGTATTTGGGTGTCCTAGAGACAATCTTATGATTAAATAAGGACATAGATGTAGACCTTTTTAATATTGTCGCAAATAAATAAAAGCACTCAAATACCGGATGTTTATTCCACGGGGTTTATCAAGTTATTCATAATATATTAACATTAATATCGAGACAGAATTATGAAACAAGATAAATAGCGCTTTTATTTATTTGCGACAATATTAAAAAGGTCTACATCTATGTCCTTATTTAATCATAAGATTATCTCTAGGACACCCAAATACTAACAGGTCTTTCCAGAATGATGCTATGTTCTGATGGGAAGTCAGCTACTATAAATCTGACCCTTTCTGATTTAAATGCATCCTTCGTTCCCAAGGTTAACCTGAGATCTATGTAGCCTTTAGGAATTGTATTCACTCCATTAAAAGCAATCAATGTTATTTTTTAGGGTTTGAGGTCCTCCTCGTCAAGGTTCATCTTTTTAAAAGCACCCCATAGTATAATGTCAGCACTACTTCCTGCGTCTATGAAGATCTTTTTAACCAGACAATTCACCAGGGTTCCAGTAACAACTAGCCCATCAACATGCCCTAGCAAAACACCGTGCATATCTTCCTTCGTGAAGCATAAGAGAGGAGGGTCCGGTTTGCTGGGGTCCTCTTTAAATTTAGGATGATCCCGGATTGAAAATACCTCTTTCAAATACTTTCGTCTAGCACTTATAGTATCTCCTCCTCCACCAAGAGCTCCACTGATTACGTTGCAGTCAAATTCTGCTTCTGGGAACTCATTATTATTGAAATCATCTTTATGGTTCCTATCTTCTTTCTTTTTCTTCTCAGGCACCAGACTTTTACTTCTTTTTCGGTTTCCAACCTTTCTTTTGTTTTTGGAACCTTGAGTTTTAATCATGTACTGGCGTAACTTTCCATCTCTAACAAATTTCTCCACGGTATCCCGGAGATCCCAACATTGATCAGTATTATGGCTGGGACCATCATGGAAAGCACAGTACTTGGATTTATCCAACCCTCCTCTGTTGAATATAGGTCGGGGTATATCCACTTTCTTCATGTCCGTTAGAGCCACTTCCTTTCAAATTTGAGAGTGCGAAGCATTCAACGGTGTGTACTTTTCGTATCTCCCTACCCGGTCTCTGTCATCCAAACCCCTGCCTTTGGAGTCTTTCTTTTTACTGTCGGGTCGCTCCCTTTCTCTCGGGATTGCTCTTTTTCTTTCATCTGATAGCACATTTGCTATCTCCATTTGTTCAAGTTCCAGGTATTTCTTGGACCGATTTCTGAATTCTTCCAGGGTCCTCATAGGGTCTTTATATACCGACTTGGCCAGTCTAGATGATCCATCCAAGCCGACCACAATGAGATGAACATGGACGTTTTCTTGCAAACCCGGCACTTGTAAAGTCGCATCTTTAAACCTGTTAAGGTATCTTTGAAGAGTTTCTCCAGGTTGCTGTCATATTTTACCAAGTGCAAATTCAGATTTCGGATGTTTTTTACTGGTTACAAAATTCAATAGAAACTTTTGTCCAAATTCCTCAAAAGAACCAATGGAATTGGCTGGGAGGGTAGAGAACCATGCCTGTGCTGCCCCAGTCAAAGTTATGGAAAAAAATCCGAGATATAAGAGGTTCGTCATTGCCTCGGACGTACATATTTGTATCAAATGCATCTATGTGGACCTGCGGGTCTTGACTTCCATCATATTTCGGCAAGCGTGCCGAATCAAAATCTGTCGGGAAAGAAGCGTTTAGAATGTCCCCAGTGAATGGGCTGTTATTGTACTGCCCCCTGTGATATTTTCTCCTGTAACCCCCGGGTTCGAAACGCCCTCTGGCACTCTGTGCATTCTGGTCGGGATGCATTCTATCTTGATGCAACTGCCTGTTTGCTTCTGCTGAAGATTCTGGATCAAAGCTTGCGCTGCAACATTAATGCGTAAAATCGGCAAGTGCACCGATCGTACCAAGTAATAAAGAGTGAGTAGAGTATCGTCTCCACGAGGATTGAGGCACCTAAGTTGTTATAACTATTCCTCTCTTGTTGGATTAATCAAAATAGGTTGAGAATGATTGTAGTTCATGAAACAAACTAAAATAATTAGAGTAAAAATGTAAATGATTCCAAAAGTGTTTTCAGAATGCAAGAACAAAAGATTAAGGATTGGGAAAATATTTGAGAAAATATTGTGGTAAAGAGAAACAAACACCTTTCCGATCCCCACCTTGCAACTTGGATTACGTTTACATTTACCTATTCAATTGATCGAACAATTCATCATCTTTTATATGAGTAGTTAAGCCCTAATCCGTTAGTGACTTTAACCTTGTTAACTCTATTAGAATCCTAATCCTTTAGAAATCCCTTTTCGAGTTAACCCTTAGAATCAATAAACCTTTAACGTTCGCTGTTCATGTAGCCTATCCCTAATGCGTACATGAACAGTTATCTTATTCTTTGTTAGGAATTAGAATTCCAACATCCCTATTGTAAACCCTAACCCTCGCAATCCTACTAGATTGATCAGTTCCAATAGAATTATAGAATGAAGAATAAGAAAAGATAAATGCAATTAAAATAGATAAACATAAAATTCAACCAAGGTACAAGGGGTTCACATCAAGGGTTGTGACCCTTACCACAATGATAAAACTAGCCAGACATATTCATGTCTGACAAAATAACAGTAAAAGAAAATAACATTTAAAACCTAGAAGAGAAAAGAAAGATGAAGCTCTTCCGTCTTGATGATCGAATCCTTGAATCTCCTCGAAGCTCCAAGGAATTCCCACTATCCTTGTTGTCTTTCTCTTCTTGGTCGTCCAAAAGTCCTCCTTCTAATGTTTCAGATCCTTTTATTAGGTTTTGGGAAAACCTCATTTTCTTTGCACTCCAATTGGGCCTTATTTTAGCTGATTCGCACTTAAAAATATATCGCCCACGCACGGGGCGCCAAGCCTGCCGCCCCAAACTTGGGAGAAACAGAAGCTGAATCTATCAACGGCGCCCCGGGCGCCAACTCTGGAGTGCCGTGCGCCAGTCCCGCGTGCCGTGCGCTAACTACCCCGCGCTGGGCGCCAGATTGGAGTGTCGTGCGCCACCTTCCGCGCTCCGTGCGCGGCCGAAACAGAAGCAAATCGGTGATAAAGCGCCCCGTGCGCCAGTTTGGCGTGTCGTGCGCCAACCTCCGCGCGTCGTGCGCCAGTGGGAAATTTGGTTTCTCCGTTTTTACTTCTTTTTGCTGCGTTTCGTGCTATTTAACATATAACTTGAGTGAGAGCATGATTGAGAAGGAATAATCAATATTTCTTGCATTTAATGACTATTTTCACACATTTATGATTAATTCCTTGCTTCTTTTAAGTTAGAAAACATCATCTGCTAGACTCACATCAAACAATTCCCAGATTTAGATGTTGCTGTCCTCAGCAATAAATTGAATTTAAGCATGGGAAGCAAGGTTCAATTAATCAGGCATAGCATTGCACAGACAATCATAGAGATTACTATACTAAGCATGAATGATTTCCAAGTCAAACTTAAGATGATGCTTAACACTACATTCAAACGTCAGAGTCTAACTTGATTACCCCTCACAAGACATGATATTCACTCATCACTCAGTGTTTGGGGTCATTCATCATCACTCATTTCATCACAACTGTTGTACTACCATAAGCTTGATCTTTTTCTCAAGTTCCTAAAGATGAGGAACATCAACACATGCCTGATTGATCAAAAGGGCTTCTTAAGGTTATAACTTGGCTTGGCTTAAGGTTAGAATCTTTTGGAAAGTAGCTGAATAATTATTGAGATTGAAACACCATTTTCATTAATACTCAATCATCTCTCAATTCAAGTTTCAACATAAACTTGATGCGTAAAATCGGCAAGTGAACCGATCGTACCAAATAATAAAAAGTGAGTAGAGTATCGTCTCCACGAGGATTGAGGCACCTAAGTTGTTATAAGTATTCCTCTCTTGTTGGATTAATCAAAATAGGTTGAGAATGATTGTAGTTCATGAAACAAACTAAAATAATTAATGTAAAAATGTAAACGATTCCAAAAGTGCTTTCAGAATGCAAGAACAAAAGATTGAGGATGGAGAAAATATTTGAGAAAATATTGCGGTAAAGAGAAACAAACACCTTTCCGATCCCCACCTTGCAACTTGGATTACGTTTACATTTACCTATTCAATTGATCGAACAATTCATCATCTTTTATATGAGTAGTTAAGCCCTAATCCCTTAGTGACTTTAACCTTGTTAACTCTATTAGAATCCTAATCCCTTAGAAATCCCTTTTCGAGTTAACCCTTAGAATCAATGAACCTTTAACGTTCGCTGTTCATGTAGCCTATCCCTAGTGCGTACATGAACAGTTATCTTATTCTTTGTCAGGAATTAGAATTCCAACATCCCTATTGTAAACCCTAACCCTCGCAATCCTACTAGATTGATCATTTCCAATAGAATTATAGAATGAAGAACAAGAAAAGATAAATGCAATTAAAATAGATAAACATAAAATTCAACCAAGGTACAAGGGGTTCACATCAAGGGTTGTGACCCTTACCACAATGATAAAACTAGCCAGACATATTCATGTCTGACAAAATAACAGTAAAAGAAAATAACATTTAAAACCTAGAAGAGAAAAGGAAGATGAAGCTCTTCCGTCTTGATGATTGAATCCTTGAATCTCGTCGAAGCTCCAAGGAATTCCCACTCTCCTTGTTGTCTTTCTCTTCTTGGTCGTCCAAAAGTCCTCCTTCTTATGTTTCAGATCCTTTTATTAGGTTTTGTGAAAACCTCTTTTTCTTTGCACTCCAATTGGGCCTTATTTTAGCTGATTCGCACTTAAAAATATATCGCCCACGCACGGGGAGCCTAGCCTGGCGCCCCAAACTTGGGAGAAACAGAAGTTGAATCTGTCAACGGCGCCCCGGGCGCCAACTCTGGAGTGTCGTGCGCCACTCCCGCGCGCCGTACACCAACTACCGCGCGCTGGGCGCCAGATTGGAGTGTCGTGCGCCACCTCCCGCGCTCCGTGCGTGGCCGAAACAGAAGCAAATTGTCGATAAAGCGCCCCGTGCGCCAAGTACCGAGCCCCGTGCGCCAGTTTGGCGTGTCGTGCGCCAACCTCCGCGCGTCGTGCGCCAGCGGGAAATTTGGTTTCTCCGTTTTTGCTTCTTTTTGCGGCGTTTCGTGCTATTTAACATATAACTTGAGTGAGAGCATGATTGAGAAGGAATAATCAATATTTCTTGCATTTAATGACTATTTTCACACATTTATGATTAATTCCTTGCTTCTTTTAAGTTAGAAAACATCATCTGCTAGACTCACATCAAACAATTCCCAGATTTAGATGTTGCTGTCCTCCGCAATAAATTGAATTTAAGCATGAGAAGCAAGGTTCAATTAATCAGGCATAGCATTGCACAGACAATCATAGAGATTACTATACTAAGCATGAATGATTTCGAAGTCAAACTTAAGATGATGCTTAACACTACATTCAAACGTCAGAGTCTAACTTGATTACCCCTCACAAGACATGATATTCACTCATCACTCAGTGTTTAGGGTCATTCATCATCACTCATTTCATCACAGCTGTTGTACTACCATAAGCTTGATCTTTTCTCAAGTTCTTAAAGATAAGGAACATCAACACATGCTTGATTGATCAAAATGGCTTCTTAAGGTTATAACTTGGCTTGGCTTAAGGTTAGAATCTTTTGGAAAATAGCTGAATAATTATTGAGATTGAAACACCATTTTCATTAATACTCAATCATCTCTCAATTCAAGTTTCAGCACCATTTTTTATTCGAATTCATGATTCCTTCCTTTTTCTCACTTTTTCCTTCATCATTGCTTGTCAATTTTTGCAATTTATTTTTCTTTCTCTTTATATTCATGTGAGAACTATTCTTTTCTTTTCCTTTTCAACTGCTTAACTTCTAGTGGAGCTTACCTCAATTACTTCTAACTTTTTGATTATTGATATTTCAATCTCAATCAAGGTAAGTTTTGATGGAAGTGGTCTAAACAGTTTAATAAGGTAATTAAAAAAAATTGGTCTCAGGCTCAACATGGCTAACAATGGGTGATTTCTCAGGTAGCTATTTGGGCATAAGCTTAATAGAACAAAATGCCTCTATCACTTCAATCAACACATGCATTGGAGAGAATTAGATCAAGTTCTAGAGTATCACTGCAGTGAGGACTCTAAAAAAAAAAAAATTAACTGTATAGGCACAAACCTCACAAGCTGTGGTATCAAACTAGACTCTTCTTAATTTCATTTCAAGCATCATTATCATAGAAATCAAACAAACGAGCAATCATAATCTCTATTCATGCTCTATGCAATGTCATGACAATCTTGCATATCATGCAATGCTTCCTCATATTCAACCAAGGAATTGACTGAGTAGCACATCTAAATCAGGACTGTGCTTTCACATAGCAGGAAAAGAAACTAAAAACACAAAATTTCTACCAAAATGAAAAAATAAAAATGAAAATAACTAGAAAGGTTAAAATAACTCCCCTGAAGTAGCTATGAATCCGCTGAAACCTTTTTCTGTGTGTGATACCTCGATTGCCGTGTATGCGGCCCCAATTCCCAGATTTAGAATATTGTTGTCCTCAGCAATAACTAAAGTAGTCGGAGAAAATACTGCTGCACAAGTATAAACATCACACATGTGAAATATTAGGCAGAAAATAACATAACCAATGTACTATAGAATTATAACTCAAAATACCAAAGAGGTTCAAATTACCCTAACATAAACCTAGATGGTCAAACAAAGACAACGAAAATAAAACATCAAAATAAAAATTAATCACAGATAAGGGGAAGGAAATAAAAATAATAATAATAAAAACTCATTGGGTTGCCTCCCAAGTAGCGCTTGTTTAACGTCACGAGCCTGACGTACCCCTTGTGATCATGGTGGCTGGTAACTCGGGCTCAGTGATGACACTATACCCTTGCTCAGAATTTGTGTCTCACCATGGTTATACTCATATGCATGTGGATAAGGATGAGGGTTCTCAGAAACTTTAAACTTAGTTCTCACATGCTTTTCCTTACCCTTGGGCTTTTCCATCTTAACCTTTGGCTTGCTTCCTTCATGCCACTGATGAATTTCCTTCTTATTCCTTTCCTCAACCTTTTTCTCCGCAATGTAATTGACTTGATTCTTAGGTTGAGGAGCAGGCAATGGAGGAGCTTCATTTATAAGTACTTCGAATATTGTTTGCTCTCCATCCACGCACATTATCAACTCACCCTTAGGTACATCGATTAATGCTCCTGAGGTTGCTAAGAATGGCCTCCCGAAGATCATAGGCACACTGGCATCTTCATCAATGTCAAGGATAACAAAATCAGCAGGAATTAGAAATTTGTCTACCTTGACTAGCACATCTTCCACAATACCATGTGCTTGCTTTGTTGAGCGGTCGGCCAGCTGAACATTCATCCTAGTTGGCTTGACTTCATCAATTCCCAGCTTCTTCATCAGGGTTAATGGCATCACATTAACGCTGGCACCAAGATCACATAAGACTCTCTCTATAGTTGTCTTGCCAATGATGCATGGAATACTGAAGCTTCCTGGATCCTTCAACTTTGGAGGCATGTTTTTCTGTAGGATTACACTGCACTCCTCTGTTAATGTGACAGGTTCATCCTCTGTGAGCTTCCTCTTCTTAGATAATGTTTCCTTCAAGAATTTGGCATATGAGGGCATTTGCTCCAGAGTGTCTGCAAAAGGAATATTAATCTGCAATTTCTTAAAAATATCTAAAAATTTAGACAATTGCTTCCTTTGCTCATTTTGCTTTGGCCTCATTGGATATGGGAGTTTCTCAAAACGTGAGAAATCTCATTGCTTCTTTTGAACTGCAGGAGGTTGTTCCTTTGCTTCTTCTTCATCCTTTTGAGCTTGTTCATCCTTTCTTGTAGAAACTTCAACTTTCTCTTTTTCTAGCTCCTCATTCCTTGTAGTGATGACATTGCATTGCTCCTTTGACACTGCATCGCTCTTTTCTTGACTCCTCTCAACTAGTTGTCTTGAAAGTTGGCCAATTTGAGTTTCCAAGTTTCTGATTGAAGCGTCTTGGTTCTTGTGGTAGGCTCTTGTCTCATTTATGTGATCATTAGTGGTTTTGGAAAGTTGTATCATCGCTTTCTCCAATTCAGATGGCTCTTTTTGTGGCAGAGGAGGAGGTTGCAGATAGTTGTTGGATTTATAATCCAAGCCACTCCCTTGATCCCTCCTTTGAAAGTTATTTCCTTGGCCGCCATTCTGATTCCTTTGGTAACCTTGAATATTCTGTGGAGGCCTTGGATCATACCAAATTCTATCGACCTGGAATGGTTCAGCTCTATTGAGTGTAGGGCACTCATTAGTATCATGCAGCTCCTTGCAATACTCACAGTTAAATATATCAACCTTGGATGTAGAGAGCTGCATCTTGTCCAGCTTGGCATTCAAACTGGCCAATTGCTGTGAAATCACTTTTTGCTCAGCCAGTGATGCATCATTATTCCCCAATTGTAAAATTCCTTTCTTGGGCTGAACAGATGGGAATGCTACTGCCATAGACGCATTCTCATTCCTTGCCATTAAATCCAGCAGCTCTAAGGTCTCATCTGCTGTCTTCTTTCCTATGGTGCCACCAGCTGCACCATTGACAATCATTCTGCATTCTGGTGTCATCCCATTATAGAAGACTCTGACCTTCTTTGTATCTGGCAAGTCATATTGTGGACACTTTCTAATCAACTCCTGGTATCGAGTCCAGGCTGCACATAAAGTCTCTCCTGGTTGTTGGGTAAAATTGGTGATTTCATTCACCAACTTATTGTACTTTTCCATGGAAAAGTGTT